ACCAGAAGCAGCCGCAGCAGGAGCAGGAGCTATGACTCAGGAGGCAGCACCAAGAGCCTCCGTCGGTAGGGAGTGCCGGCGACGGCGTGCACGCCGATGATGTCTCCGAATTCCTGGCATTCTCCGCTTCCTTCCCACCTACTTGGCCATTGATAATGATCATCCCTGATACTGATGTGGTGGCAGGGCTGGATCCCCCTTCTGCAATTCCAAGTAAGAGCCCTCGTGCACGTGGCACGGAGCATTCTCAGAAGCAGGCAGGACCTTGCGTGGCCCCGCAGAGCGTGGGGGGACGTTCCCGCTCCCCAGGCCAGCACCAGAAGGAGGGTCAAGGCTTTACAGAGGGTCTCCAGGGACAGACCTGCTCCATGCACCGCATCGTTGTTCCTTCCATGCCGCTCTCCAATCACTAGCAGTTGGTCCAAAAGTAAAAAACTAGCCACTTGCTTTTGTCCCACCAAGCCAAGAGCCATCAAAATAATTTCTATTGGAGGGAGAGTCATGGTTAGGGAAGAATTGGGTGGAAGGCTTCGGTGATGAGCGTGGTTGATCTGCCAAGGCAAATGCTAAGGCAAATTTGGGCCTCTCCTCCAGAGTTTCTGCCCACTCTGCAGCAGGCCTCTGCTATGAAGGATTATTTATGTGTTGCCAGTCAGCCAGTGCCTGCTATAAATAGAAGGCTAGAAATCCCTCCTGACGTAATTCCTGGGGAAAAGAAAGCTAGCCCCCCTTCCTCCTGCCTGTTCTTCCCAGGCCTGGATTAGTCTGCCAGAGGGTCGTGTTTTGTCCCCGTCAGCGCTGTGGCTCTCTCAGGAGCAGCCTGTGGAGACCTGGTGCACACGCAGGGCCAGGGGTGCAGAGCCGGCACCACGCGGCGCTCCGAGGTGCGGGCGCAATCGCAGGATGCAGAGCTGCGGGACCCAGGATGGGTTTGCACTCTTGGAGGGCCCCCTTGCAATCTGGAGGTCGTTTGTGGTTTTTTTTTTTTTTTCTTATAAGAGAATCCTTGCCAGGGACTTTGCCTGGCTGGTGGGGCTATAGGGAGACAGGACCCTGGGGTAATTCCAGCACCATAGCCTGGCTGAGGGGTGTCGCAGCCGCATGGCCACCCCAGGCACAGTGCCAGCTCTCCCC